CATGTATTTACAAAACCCAACATCTCTATACACACACAAAGAGCCCTGAGCGTATCGGCAAATGAACCAGCCAATGAAAGACTTCGTTACACTTAAGTGCACGAACACCCGCTCTGACTGGGTTCGGTATGGTTTATGCCCGGACTGTCGACAACAATAAATAATCCGTCCAAAATACTTGTCGACAGTCCGGGAAAAGGAGGTGATGTTCTACATGAGTGACTTCACTCCCAGTGTTCTCAAATTAACAAACTAATTAAAACAGAGTGTGATATATATAGTAGACAATATATTTATTCAGTCAATATAACAACATGCATGTATCATATGTCACATAATATAGCATATTTGTTCATATATTTCATAAAGCTCACACAATATATTTGTGTGTGTGTTTTATATAAATAAGCTTAGGAACGGTCTTATGTCTTTGTCGATACATGCTGGTTCTCATGGAGTCAAAGACAGGAATGTGTTGGAGAAGGGTGTCTGGAGCAGCTGCTGGATTCTTTCTCAAGTTGCTGATTTCTTCATGGTAGATCTGGGGGATAGGCGTAGCGTTGTCAGTCTTTGCACGATGATGGAGCTTTGACTTGAACGCATCAACTTCAGTAAGAAACGGAATAGCAGGATGGTTGTGACCTTGACCGACCATATTCAGCAGGTTGTTTTCTGTAACCAGATATGATGGACAGGTTGCCTCTGTTCATCTCCAGTATGTTTTCTGACCTCTGCTTCTGTTGACTCTGTACTTGAATCCATTGTGGTAAAGATTCTGACCTCTATGAATGTTGTCAATCAATGTAACCCGCACCATAGCATTTGCCATTTTGACAGTGGTAACAAAATATTCATGATCTATTATATATACCCACATGCGAAATGTTTACAAAAGCATTTCGATAATCCTTCTACTCCCAATATCACAAAATAATTTGTAAGCTCTCCGTTTCTCATGTTGTTGCATGTTAAACTCCAAAATGGTAATCCTTCCACTCGCATAACGTAAAATAATAATCTGTTTTTGCAACCTTAATTCTCTTGCAAATTGTTAAAACGACATTCTCTTTAATCTACTTAATTCATTTACTCATGATACGAGCATAGCTGTAGCCGCCATGGCCACTTGCAACCACTAAGCAAACATTATCTTTCATTAATTAACACCGCAAACATTCTCTTTCATTAATTAAGACCGTCACGGTATGTTGGCCACGCGATGTCGACATACCGGGTTTTTTGTTTTGTCGACAGTTAGGGACATCTTATTTTTTCATTTGTCGACAGATCGGGCTGACACCGTCGGTATCCCGGGTGCTTCGTTTCGAGGGTAGTAAACCCAAGTACAAAATATTGCACTATTGATTTGCGGTTGTACGCTTATAATTTTGTTTATTTGTTTTTATTCATAATCAGCAATGTATATTATATGTCATGAATAAGTGATAATTGTGTTCAACTTTTAATAAGGTTTGTTTTGGTTTTTTTGGTTGCATGTGACCTTTAAATGGGAGGCAATCCTGAACATGCGCGTGGTGGTCTCAGATGTTTGCCATGTTGTAACACGAGGTCATGTACTCTGCATTGCACTGAGAATTACAGCTCCCGAGATAGAGGAAATGCGGTTTCTGATAGCTTTTCGGAACACACGCGAAAGATCTGATAAGACGCAGTTAAATCTAAGATATTGCTTTCGATGATCTAAACTAATTTATTAGAATACATATTTTTTAAATATTCGGAATTTTATTAGAGCTAAAATGGGAAATAGACAATATGTACTACATAGATAAATCTCGTAACAATTTGCATTTGGGTACACGATTAACAAAAAAATCTGTACTAATTGATGTACATGCATATAAAAGTGGTCATGAAAATACACACAAAGAGCAAGCATACATATATGTTTTATAGTTTTTATTTTGTTGAATCATTATATGCAGAAATTACAAAATCATGAGATTATCTATAAAATCAATTATATTAATTCGAATTCTGTTAACGCCGAAATTATTACACCTTTAGGTGAAACAGAGCAGGGTTATAAGATTTTTAGTAAGAACATAACCACAGGTACGTTTGCTTATATTTAAGTATATACTGTCGTGAAAAACTAAACAGCCGTGAATGAATGAGTTTAGTTTCAGGCCGCCTTTAGCAATATTCCAGAAATATCACGGCACTGCATGGGCTTCAAACACTGTACCCATGTGGAGAATCGTTTGCCCTTCAGTATATAGTCCATTACCCTCACTCACTGACCTCTCTTTCGCTATTATAGAGGAATGCCATTGCAAGCATATAGTCGACTTATTCAGAATGATATTTCTAATAGGAGTGCCATCGGTAGACTTGCACAAGTCTCTAAGGTAAGAATTAATAGTTTAATGATAATTTCTAAAGAAAAAATAAACAACAGACTGGGGTACTTACTGTCCGCTTATTTGGGCTTGCCTCTTCAAGGGACAGAATTACTATACATCCATAGGCTCAGCATTCAGTACTGTCTTGTAGCAAGCCTATGGCATCAGTAAAAGCAGATTTTTCGCCGCCTCTGTCACGGTCCCCTTAAGCGTCAAAACAGAAATATGACACCCAGTTCTGAGATCACGGCCATTTTCCTTGTCTGCTACCAAGGCACTAGAGAATTTGGCAAATTATAACTGAATGCAACTAAAGTCTCAGTTTGGCAAGTGTACATTGCCTGAGTACTGCCTTAAGCGCTGTTTTAAGGATTAATTTGGATGTAATTTTTATTTTGTAGATGTATGGTTTTATTTCATATTTTTATTTTTTTAAAAACCAGAAAGTACGTGCTGGAAAAATTACCATTCCAAATTTTATAATTCTTTATCAGACACTAAAGATAAGATAGGTTAAGAAATGTGCATATCTATAAGAGATGTGCATATCTATCAGTTCCTTAGCATTAAATATTGGATTTTGTGGCCACGGTCCAGTTATAAAACCCATAAAGGCTGTAATATAAGCATGCTGTTTATGAACCCCCTACTGTGAGTGATTACGACAATATATTAGCTTCAGATTCCGGTCAGGTGATACAGACAGCAAGTCTCGTCCCGCACTGAGTTATGGCGAGAATTACAGAGGGCGCTGTTTACGGAAACCAACGAAGACAGTCGGCGTCGTTGACCGCAGTTACGATTCCGCCCTCCGTGATAACATTATCAATGGCCAGCGCGAGGGGGGTAGGTTTATCAGGCGAACAAACGAATGGGCGATAAGGACTCGTTAGAAATCCGGAGTTCTCGTTTCTGGAAAATGTTATGTCAACTAGATTCTCACATAAGTAGTAAACATTTGCGTGTAATTACTACTTCTGGGGCTCAGGAATCTAGCGAATTTCATAAAGGAAATAAATGTTGAATAAAATCTCCCTGGGATGGTGTCCCCACATGGCCTCGGTGAGACTCTACAGCGACGGATTTCTGAAAATGTCATGGCAAAATTTAATTTAGAACAAAGTCTGATCTCGCAGAAATATACGAATATCGCTACTGATTTCTATCGGGAGTTGGGGAGACAGATATTGTAGGGCTAGCTATCGATATAAATCATAGAGATCGATAATCTTTAACTAAATATCGATCGATTATCGGAAAATATCGGAGAACGAACCTTATTAAAAATGTCAAAGAAATAAAATATATTTTACATCACTGGTGGATTACTAACAAAACAGCGCCCTAAACATTATTTAGAAACTGCCAATGAGTAAAGTGCTAACTCTGCGTATTTGTGAGGGTAAATTCAATCTATATCCTATCACGACATACGTTTATATACGATATTATCGATAACACAATTTTCATATCGATAAACATAAATACGTTTTCCTGTCGACAATATTTCCGATTATCGATCATTATAGCCAACCCTAGATATCTGACATAATCTTTTTAAAATGTTAGAGTAGACAGCTACAAGAAGCAAGGCAGTTTGACTCCTCAATTGATATGAAAACATTTATGTACTTTACATGTTTCCTGGCGTGACTTCAACTTCCCGAAATCACTGACAGACAAACACATAGTTTCATCCTTTATCTTCCTGAAACTTGATAAAACTAGACCAGAGACTCTCTTCATGAAACTGCGATATTCTAGATTTGTCAACAACCATACACACGCATTGGATACATCTGTTCCAAGGTTTATACGTCAGTTGTTTTTATTAGGTCTTGCTTCAAAAGACCTGGGCCTAGATTTTCGAAGCTCTCTTAGCGCTAACATTAACTTACGACTATCTTAGCGCTAAGATAGCTTCTCGTAAATCTGAATATCATTCAGATAGAAACAAAGAGTAAAATGGTTCTCCAGAGAAATTGGAGATTAAGAGCTGAGAAAAATGTTGACTTGTTTCATTTAGGGCTTTAGCCATACAGAAATGGGCAGTTGGAAGGGGAAAGTATAGTTCAGGTACATGTATAAAGGATAAGAATGGCTAGGCTCCGGACGAAGTTATCAGCAAAATGCCTCGACTCTCCTACAGACCCTGAAATGATCTCCTACAGACTCCACCATAGAAGCTGAAATGAAACAAAAATATTTTTAAAATTCCCAGTCTACAACACTTTGTACCTTGAGTTTTCGGTATTCTGAAAATGAAGAGATTGTCATGGTTCTTTTCTATTAAAAGCAAACCGACATTCAGCTAACATGTTGAGTAGAGAATGATTTCAAGTACCAACGCTTTGTTATTGTTCTTTATCACGTCGACCTGGTTCCTGGTACATCACATAGTGACATTTAATTGAGACTCATCAGTGCGATCCATTATTCAACCACCACCATCCTGGCGAGAATAAATTAGGACAGTATGATACAATCCCTGCAATTATATCCCGTTATGAATACCCACATCATGCCGCTTACGATAAACACCACTTATAACTGACCTGAAGGTGAAAGGTCAGGGGTGACGTTCGACTGGGCTATACAGCATAGACTGGGTCTGCATGTCCGTTACGGAAACTACTCCCAGATGTCCTAAGCGGCATGAAGATAAGTCGCGCGAGTGCCGCTTGAAGTTCATGGGGCAAGACCAAGCCTTAGTCATGATGGGCTAGTCCTCGGCGGACGGACATACCGCTAACAGTGCGTGCGAGGTCCGCGGATTACTACACAGATGGGAGAAGGTCGTTTACCGAGCAGGACCATGTGGAGCCAAGTGATACTTTTAGGATCTGTATTAAGTGGTGAGTGAGTCTTTATTTTCATGGCGTCATTTCCTCAACGAGCCGTTTTAACGATGTTCGCCGGATGTGGAGTTGGAGGTGTGTTTACTGCTAGGCCTTGAGCTATTTTTTTTTCATGTCGACTTCACGAAAACTATTGCTCGTGCTGTTGTTGAAAACAACCCATAGTAAATGTTGCCCATGTGTTTTCACGATGCTTTGCCCTTTAAATATTGCTCTATCTGTCTTCGTGGGCATAAATATCAGGCTTATTTCTGTCAAATGGTTGTAACTACATGATTGACTGACAGTCGCTAGCTCAGTCCTTGTTGTGGTATAGACACTGCCTTATCATACAACAAGGGATTTAACTGAAAATTTTGATTTCAGTTCGTTCATGATTAAATATTAAATACGTCAGAGCCACTTTTAATTCAGATTCAATTTTACAGTCCGCATACAGTCTTGGTGAGTTTGTATCTGTGTGTATGGGGACGTTGTCATTCCATTAGCAAGTGAGTGAGCTTTTACGCCGATTTTAGCAATATTCCAGCAATACCACGGCGGGGACAACAGAAATGGCCATTAGTAAGTGGGGCGGTGGGGTGGCCTAGTGGATAAAGCGTTCGTTCGTCACCCCGAAGACCTGGGTTCGATTCCCCACATGGGTACAATGTGTGAAACCCATTCCTGGTGTCCCCCATCGTGATATTGTTGGAATATTGTTAAAACCATGCTCACTCACTCACTCCATTAGCAAGTAGAAGTGCACAGTAGCACTGGTCAGTACTGATTACTGGCCAGTGTCCAGATTAAAGCGACTGTCATTATATATTAGCATCAATGGGTATTTGGACAAGCACGGGTACGAACTAAAATATTTTCAATGAATCAAGATTGATGTATTCTCACAGGTTCCTTAGGTGTGGCTACATGCATAGCTTTAGGTTCGAATGATTGATTCGAATCCCTGATAGTGATTCAGCGTCATACCCGTTAAAGTGGTGAACGTCCATTTTAAACCTAAATTATACAGACACGCCCATCGTTCAAAGCCGTGCAGAACCAAATTCGTTCACTCACTCATGATATGTCTGCTGGGGATAGACATACGACCCGTTTCTCATGGCATGTACATGAATCATGCCATTGTGTTCATGTGACCCAGTGAGTTGGGTTTGCAGCGGATTTAAACTGTATCAAATACCAATGCCAATTCAATAAGAGGAAGAAAACGCAAACTTACCGAGGGTTATTAGTCCCACGACATCCCACCGGGTACCCATTTTCTGCTGGGTGCATAGAGGCAATTTTGAACAAACTCACTTGTCTAAGGGGAGACCACATATATCACATGTGCTTCGTTGTGGTGCAGGACTGATGTACTAGAAACTCTGAGGAGTCAAGCTGTCACACACGGACACCCGTTCAAAGATCTCCGCGCCCAAAGTTGCTTGACTTCAACTGATTCGTGACCTGAGCTCTAGGTACAGGACTACACATCACCACCAAATTAACAGTTTCTTTCGAGGTCAACGGCTAGCCCCGGATAACTGGGTGGTGGGGGTAGAAAGGGGTGGAGTGGAGGGGGCTTTGAAGGGGTGGGTGGAGGTGGTGACTGGGTTTGAAATCAGAATGCCAAATTCTACAGCGTCTTGATTATAACTTTTGTCTACCCTTAAATGATCACAGCTAATTTTAAATCAGAAATGGATCCTTGTACGTTTCCAGTTAAGCTGTCAAAATAGCTTCCCACTTTTAGCCCTTGTGTTTTTGTCTTCCTCAAACTGAAATAGGAGATCTAAATTTAAAATTGAAATGTTTATTTTATGAGGTTTAACGGGATTTGAAGCGTTCGCCTATTACACAGACCCGGGTTTGATTACCCACATGGATAAAATATGTGAAACCATTTCCAGCCGTGATATTGCTGGATCATTGCTAAAAGCGGCGTTAAACTAAATTCAATCACTCAAATGTCAAAAGCTTAATTTCATTGCTTTGTATAACTTTTTGTCAATGTTCCATTTTGAAGTACTTGATCTTAATTAAACATACAACTTTGTAGGGTGGACAAGAGCTTATTTTCAATAACTGCTCAATCGAGGAAGTCATAAACGAACAATGGTACAATACCACTTGGCTCTCCTTTATCCTGATTGTGACGACAGAGAGTAACAATGCCCTATTGTGTACCTACGCTGAAGTAGTGGCATGAAGCCCAACAGCCGATTGTGACGTATATTTTGACAAGGCTTAGAGAATGTCCTGTTTTCAAATGTTATTTCACTACAAGGCTTTGCAGACCCGTGAAGATCCGGGTTAGAATTGGTCTTCAACAACCCATCCTTGTCGTAAGAGGCGACTAACGGGATCGGGTGGTAAAGCTCGCTGACTTTGTAGACATGTCATCGTATCCCAGTTACGTAGATCGATGCTCATGGTGTTGATCACTGAATTGTGTAGTCCAGACTCGATCATCTAAAGACCGCCGCCATATAGCTGGAACATTGCTGAGTGCGGCGTTAAACAACAACCAAACCAAACCTTCCTCCTGATTGTGTTGACAGAGAGTAACAATACCCTATTGTGTACCTACACGGAAGCAGTCCCGTGAAGCCCAACAGCTGTTTGTGACGTATATTGTGAGAAGGACTGGAGACTGCTCTGTCTTCAGTTGTTAGTTCTTTACAAGGCATTGCATAAAGATGTGTTTAATTCACACGTGTCGGCATGGTGTGTGTCCTTACCCTCCCTCCCCCGGTGGATTCCACGCGTCCCCAGTACCCGATGCCAGCTGAGTGCTTTGAGGACGGGGTTGTAGAATTGTGCCTCGACGACTTGTTTATTTATTTTCATGCCGCTCTCAGCAATAATCCAGCTATTTGTCGGCGGTCTGTAAATTATTTTAACTGAACCAGAATATCCACTGGTGTCATGAACATTGATCTACGCAAAATTCACCAATGGTGCGAACCTGTAGTTTACATCGCCCAGCTTTTATTTACCATTAACCTGTTACAATTTTAACAATAATCATATTGATGATGATGATGATGATGATGGCGGTGGTGGTGGTGGTGATGGTGATGATGATGATGATGATGGCGATGGTGGTGGTGGTGATGATGATGATGATGATGATGGTGGTGATGATGATGATGATGATGATGATGATGATGATGATGATGATGATGATGACGACGACGACGATAATAATAATCAAAACACAAACAAAAACAACAACCCAAAACATTAGTCCCAGAAATAAAATTGTTGGAATCTATTTTATTAGATTTTTCATATCTTATTTAAATTAGATATCTGCAGACCAAATTCAAACGGAGCCCAGAGCAATCCTTAATTTCTGAGCTGAAGCAATTTACATTTGCCAATCCTTCTAGACTTGAGTAGGACTCTTATGTTTTATTCCCTCGTGTTTGGGAGACAGACTTAGCCCTGTCCTGCTCGCTGCTGGTGCATGTCAAAATCCATTGACAACAGGTCTATTTTGAGCAGATTTTAGATTTTGCTAGGGAATTCTAGACTTTTGCGAGGCAACTTAGTTCCTGTGTTTTTGGCTGGTCAAATGCTTGTTTATAGTGACATGATACTGTTGTTGTTGTTGTTGTTGTTGTTGTTTAACGCCACACTCAGCAATGTTCAAGCTATATGGCGTACACAATACTTGGTTGTGTTAGTGGGTGAGTTATGTTTGGAACATCCACTTCAGCTAACTGTCAGATCATTTAATGAAGTTAGACTGCCTTATATGGGACTACTCTGAAACCGGTGACGTCAGGTTATGACGTCATGAAAAGACGCATTCCACGAAGGCGTCCTGATTCGCTGATGACCATCTCCTACGTCAGTAACTTGCTGACAATATTTACTAAACAGGAACCTTCTGCATAGGGACACTGGAGAAAGTGCAGCATTTGCCGACGTCATCATTACGTCATAGAAAATCAGGTGTCATCTAGCCTTTTCGTGTCACCACAGAGATTCAGTTGGATAAATCAACTGACTCGCAGAATATAGTTCACTGCACATGTAACAAGAGACCTCGTGACACATAGTTCGTTATAGAGAGGTGTAAGGCAGCACTGTATGACATAAGCCAAAACCCCAGCCGTACATCAGGGCTGGTAACTTCAAAATGGATTTAATCAGACCGGACAATCCACAGGAAATAACTCAGGTTTTAGTTACAATGAATAATTTAATGAACTCGAGACAAGTATTTACTGCAGAACTCCGCGCATCGAGAGGTGTCGCTGTTTTAGTGATAATATACGTCAAAGCAGTGCGTTGAGCTTGCGATACAATAGTTCAATGTTCCAACAGTAATTGTCAAGTCTAAATTTAACGCTCATTTTGAAAAATAGATTTTAAGATGTGGTGAATTTACTCAGATGTATGGAACATGTTATCTAATTTTTTACCAGACCAGCGGGCTAGCTAGCTGTAAATTTAGACCGTACGTCAGAAATCTGGCCCGTTTCGGGCGGTCATACACTGGGTAAGTTTGATTCGAACGTTCCTGTATTCGCATAAACCTTAGACCATTGTGACCAACGGATTTCCATTACAGTCAGTTGAGATTTCAAGCGTGGGGCACATTATTTTGAGCTTGTCTGTGCAGTTAACCCTCGTTTATCCGATCGGAACTATTTGCAGTAAAATCGTCCTGATAAATGCACTTCCGGATATATGGATCGAAGCTATAGTCAGTAATACCTTGATCACAGCTTAGTTTTTATAAAAAAAAATTATAATATTGATAACAAATGGCTACAACTTATCTCTGCAAGAGAGAATCCTGTGGATGATATATACTGGCTGCATTAAGAGATAAAGAATTTCAGGAAGGGTTGGGCGGAAGGGAAAACAATATGGTTCAGGGGCTGTGTGGCAGGCGAAATGATGCTGTTTTCACACGTGTTGTCTTCCCTAACATTCGCTGTCCTTGAGATCGGTTATCTTACAAACGGGAGTATACTGTAGCAGTGTACTGTTTA